GAACGGGGATGAAGATCAAAGAAGGAGGATGAAGAAGAAGTCGAGGATAGAAGATGAAGATTGAAATAGGGGGATCTATTCATTGAAGAAGGGATGAAACTCTTATCTGTAACATCGATTTCTCTCTTGAGATGGAAGAAGAACCGTTGTCGTCTCCTTCTCCGATCTCAGGGCCATTCTTCATCGCTGGAATTTAAGAGAGTCGAACGGGAGAAACAGAAGATGAAGAAGCAGCCGCTGGGGCCTGGGGGGGGAGAGAGAGCGAAACGCCCTCAGCATTCCTAGTGAGCGGTGCATTCAGAACAAGCTAATTAATAAATATTTTTTTTAAAAAATCTTTTTATTAAATGAAATGCGTTTAAAAAAATTTCTGAAGAGAACCAATTTTGAAGGCTAATAATATCATCTCTTTTTCAATGTTATCTTTGAAGTGAGATAGACGAATTAAACGTGGATATAATATATCCAATCGATTTGTTTTTGCCACTTATACTATTTATTTTTTCATTTTTTAATATTAATTTTGAAGAGAGCTCATTGAATTAATTGTGAGATCACATCATATCCGCTGGATACATCTTAAAATTTTACTGTATTTTTAAAATTAATTTTTTATATATTTAATTTCATTCTTTTCATTTTTTTATTACTAATCATGCCTGTAATTAAAATCATAAAAATTATTTTATCACTTTATAATTTAATTTGTCAATTATTATTTGATGTTTTATTCTTATATACAATATTAGATATTTATGTAACATTATTTTTATCTAATTATTATATTAATGGTTGATAAATGGTCTAACTAATCTAACCGTTTAAACTCATAACTTGTTGATCTTTCTGATTTCGACATCTAGTCCGGCTCTTAAAACATTACTTGTAACAGAATATGATATGCGTGTGAGATGGAAAATTTGTTCAGAATTTCATAATCTTTTTCAAAATCTTTCAAAACAAAAAACAAATGATCTTTTCAGAAATATCTCTATTTAGTTAGGGGCATACTTAAAAAAGACAATTTTTAGATTTTGGTCCTTTTTTTTTTTTTTTTTTCCAATTCCTTACTATAGTTACGAATTTAATTTAAAATCATGAAATTAAAAGTTACATTTCAATTAGTTTGATTTCAAATTTAATTTTTATGTATATTTTCATTATTTTCTTACTTTTGTATAATATGTTGTAGACTTGTAGTAAAAACTTTCTGGTCAAAAAAAGACTTGTACCCATGTTTTCTTCTTGTTTTACTAAATCATTCAATTTTGCTTTATTGGTATTGTTAGCACATAAAAAAGTTATAAGACTTAACGGTTCTAACAGAGCAAAATTAAATGATTTAATTAAAAAAAAAGGCATGGGGGGAACTTATGCTATATTTTAGAACAAAATAGTAATAATAGCTTTTGAATGTCTAAATTAGATATCAATTGTTCAAAAAAAATGCGCACTAACTTTTTTATTATGGTGGTGCATGAGACCAAACCTGTGGCTGTAAATTCCATATTCTCTAAAACTCCCATAATCCATAAGGAAAAGCTCCTTACTGATGTTCAGGTATTACTACTATCGAGTTTTTCCCAAGCCTCAGGTGTGGATTATGGGGAAGCTAGAAGCGATTGAGTCATATATAGCACTCATCTAAATGGCATTTATGTAGCTGAAATGCAGGATTCACCCATGCTCCACAGCTACACTGCATATCTGCCCAGTGGAAATAACCCAAATGAGCATTGCATTCCCAACAGAAAAGTTTTTTCCTCTACATGGCCCTCATCAACTGCCAAGTGAAGCAATACTCATACAGAGTTAGTGTGAAGAATGAAAAGGAAAATCTTATGGCAACTGGATATATATTGATTGAAATTTACGAAAACCTGTTTGCATCCACTTCTGGGCTCGACAAATACCGAGGTACAGTCCACTGGCTGTTTTTCTTCTCTGCGTTCTCATTTCTCTTCTTCCATTTGAAACTTGCTTCTCTTCTTTTCCCCGCTCATGGGAAAACTCGTCTGAATCTACAATTCTTCGGCATTTCTTACACCCGTAAATAAGGTGATCCTTTTCTGGGGTCTCCAACTTGGAGCTAACAGTTCCAGCCATTTGGCTTCACTGATCAATGATGTAAATGTTTAATATTCTGCAAGTTTAAAAAGCATATGAGAAGACAACACGAAACCTAATATAAAGGAATGTAATTAACAAAATTTCCTACAACAAATGAGTAGCATTTGATAACAAGTTCTAGTGTATCAACATGTTTATGCTACTTGTTATCAAGACAAGACCATACCCATTAATAATATGAAGTTCTTCGCACTTCAAGTTAAACTTTTGAGTACCCTGGTTCATTATGTTTTATTTATTTATCGCCCATGGCAAAAGTACTTTTACTTTAATTAAAAGGACGTAATCCGTATTTAGGATGATGCATGTAACGAATTGGCACACACTAACATTGATCAGACAATCATTGTTACTTTAGACACAAGTGACAGCAGATGTGAACTAGGCGTGACAATATTAAAGTTGCAGAGACAATGAATCTTCATGTCAGCAACCAAAACAAATTACTATAAAAAAAAAAAAAAACACACACACACACATGTGGTCTCCCTACTAGAATACTTAAATCTGTCAAATTTGCAACGTGGGGGGTCTCGAAACCAACGTGGTTTTAGAAGCATCACATCTTCATTATTTGAGATCTTATGCTTTGTTAGAGAACCATCCGGTCCCACTAGACAGGCTGTTAACATACTGAACATCTTTTGATGTCTCTAACTTACTTATATTTTCTTTTGCTTTAATTAGCTGATATGCTCAGGTTTTTTTGGTCCGCATGCCCTTTGTAATTTCATTCTTTGATGGAATTTTCCCTTTTCTCCAGAAAAGAAGCTTTCTCCATCAGACTGAAACAGGGAGTACTAGTTACCTAAAATCAAGCACACCTAAAACACATGTGCCATGTAGGGGAGGCTGATGTCCCCATAGAGAATGTTTATTTAGATTGTCACTGTATTTTGGCCTTTCATGAACACACCCGTCATCTCATCTTCTACCCCCTACCCTTTCTCTCTCACAAGCCACGAGTCCGAACACATATTGACACGTAATCAATATTACTGCATAACCAATGACAGCCCTATTGTAAATTATCTTACATTGGAATAAAGATATCTCACCCATATGATGAACAGGGATGGGAATCCTAGGACTCCTAACTGAACTTGGTTCACATATATCTTAATAAGAACGCATTATGCATAGGGTCAATCAGGACTTGCGAAATTATATTGTTCAACTATGTTTGTTGCCCTAACAGTGTTTTCTTCATAAATTATACTCACAAAACCAGAATAACACAAACATTATTGCCTCCTTCGAAATTTCTTCCCCCGTGAATGCTTGGTTTCATGTTATTAGCAATCCCCAGCTTAATTTGATAGCAAACGCAGGAGTTTCTAAACAAAGACAAGACGATTAAAAAGAAGGGAAAAAATGACCAGCGGCAGCTCAATCCCTAGTTGTGAACACCGCCGATGCCAAGTTCATGCTTGACAAACCATAGTTTTGGGCCAAAATCATAGTTTCAAGAAGAAATGAATCTATTATGTTTTCTGGTTTAAATTGAGAGTATGATTGTGCTTGTCAGAGTAGATTTCAACGATAATATGACTTTAACACCCATCAATTATTTTTTTATAAATATTTAATCTTATGTTTTATATATACATACACATATTAATTATTTATTAATTATATTATCTTATATATTATTAATTATGTTGGTAAAGAATATATTATTAACAATTTTATTCCTTGAAATTAAAATATATTATAAAATCTATCTTTTATGTAATTATCATATTAACTTATGCCTTTTTACTAATGTGTACATATAAAAAATGCTTCTAATAACAACTATCCACACACTCTCTCACTTTATCAGAATCACTTTTTCACAAAATCTATTCTTTATAAATCTATTTTTCAGAAATTATTTTCTAATCATGATTTGGTTTCATCCAAACGTCCGTTTAGTTTTGAAATGTAAAGTGGAATCCTATATTTACAGTTCTCCGTGCAAGGCCTTGAGCTTCTTAGATTAGGCTGACCACAAATGACAGGTACTTACGAGCATGTTTGGATCTTTGATTTGGGCTATCGAAAGAAGAAAAGAAAGCCCAATTAATCAGTATGCATAAAGAGCCTCACTTCGCATTAATTTTTTGTTTTTTTTTTTTTTTTTTTTTAACGTCGCACTAGTTTTCCTTTGTTTGGAGCCTTCGTTCTCGCATGCGGAGGAAAGAGCATTGCTTCCGTGAAGTGGCAGGAAAAAGGATTTGGACAATGCTCTTTTTACCGGGTCATTTCAAGCGATTGCCAATTTAGAAGAACCTGATTAAACCCTAGCTACGAATTGAACAGCTGTACATTGCCCGAGTTTGCCATCAGCGCCCTGGAATAGGTGAGCGTTTTTGGCTGATTACTTTATTCAGTTCCATACAGCTGATTTTGGATTTTACTGTGAAAGGATTTGGGAACACTTCATAATGTCCACACAATTAAGAAATGTGTGTAATGCATTGATCAATAACCTGGTTGTTTAGGGGAGGGGGGATTCCTTTACTTTGAATCGTACACTGCAAAACTAATGCGTGAAAATTTTCAAACCATAAGAAAATGATCTAGAGTCAGGTTTTGCAATATTTTTAGATTAATATATATATAGCATAGATATCTTATATCTAAAAGGCTAATTTTGAAAACCGCATCTTCTCTGAGGCAAAACCCCCCGCCCCCGGGGGGGGAGATACTTGCTGGCCAAAAAAAAGGTTTTTTGAAAACAAAATGGCTCATGAGATGATACACTACTTCATGTGCCTGGCAGTTCGATTGGTCAACGTAAATTCATGATAGATCATGCTTGTTTCTTACAAATATTATTTCATTTTCACACGCCTTACGCTAAAATCGAACAGTCACTCGTCGTACTATGCTCTGAAGACCTCTGAGCCGTCAACATCCCCTTGAAGCATCTCCACTACTCTGCCCATTGAGGGGCGATCACTTGGGCTCAGCTGTATGCAAGTAAAAGTAACTGTAATCATTTTCAGGGCTATCTTCTTCTCTTCTTCTGTGGCATTGCTTTTAAATATTGTTTCTTCAAACTGATCATGAACCCATTTCGCAAAGTAAGTCTGCCATGAATTCTGCACAACATCATGGTTCTTTCTTCTTCCTGCCATTTCCATCAGCATCATCCCAAAACTATAAACATCAGCCTTGTGTGAGATGCCTCCAATGTTTTTGTACAACAATTCAGGAGCCATGTATCCCATTGTGCCTCTAGCTGTAGTTAGAGACACAATACTTTTATCTGTTGGATATAGTTTTTGCCAATCCAAAGTCTGAAATCTTGGGAGAAAAATTCTCATCAAGAAGAATATTGTGAGGTTTTGATGTCAAAGTGTAGGATTTGCTTGTCGCAGCCTTGATGTAGGTACTCAATCCCACAAGCCACCCCTAAAGAAATCTCATTGATCTTCTCATAATTATTGATGATTTTTCATGCTCAGAAAGTATGTATTTATCTAAAGATCCGTTTGGCATGAACTCATAAACAAGAGCTTGCTTTCTTCTCTCTGCACAAAATCCTATCAATTGCACCACATTTACATGACGAATAGTTCCAATGGTGGAAACTTCATTGATGAAATCATGCCCATCTGTTGTTGACTTGCCTAATAGCTTAACAGCCACATCACGCTTGCTTCGAAGCTTTCCTTTATATACAGAACCATAACCCCCTTCTCCTAACTTGTGCTTGAAATTTTTTGTCATTCTTCTTATGTCGAGTAAGAGTATTTAATGGGCACTAAATTGCTGTGACTTCTTAGGAAATCCTCAATGTCATCATACTCAGATAAATGCCTCCTTCTCATTTTATATATTAGAAAACCCACAACAATTGGGAATCCCAAAGCAAATTTTGCTCCAAACCAAAGGATAGCTACAAAAAAGGATAAAAGAAAAGGCAAACTAAATGAAAAGAATGAAGCAAAATAAAACAAAATATCCAGAGAATTTCAGTCCAATTCAATTCAGGACTTACTATTAAATTTTTTATGTTGTGGAAGCTGGGTGCCAAAAAATAATTTCCATTAACAATTGCATGTTTGCCATATGACTGATAGAATTAGACTTATTCTGGTAGAAAGATAAATTGGATTTAAACTACAATTACCTATTGGGAATCCTAAAATGTGGCAATTCCTATTGATTCTTATGTGCTGTGTATGTGGGGTCCTCAAACGGAGTAGTTTGTTGTGTAATTGTGACTATGTACGTGATGGAAATAGGACTTGTGAACATGTTAGGAAACTAGAGTTGGTATTGAGCTTATAAATAGGACCCACACTTATCTTGTATTTAGATAATGATCTGTAACATCAATGAAGTAATTCGGTGTGCGTTTCTCAGTTTCTCAGTTTCCTATTACCTTCCCCTCTTGATTCCTTTGGATTCTTCTCTCAACTCTTTCTTCCTTCCTCCTCTTTTCTTTTTTCTATCACTCTTGTCAAAATTACATGTCATAATTTCCCAAGGATGAATGACTTCGGGTTTATGGTGGGGCTAAAAGGAGATGGAAGGTGAACAATCATTGGAAGTGGTGGAGTTGTAGTGTAGTGATAAGGGGAGGGTGGTATGGGCTTCAGGGACTTCATGAAAATGAATAAGGCTTTGCCTATAAAACTGCTTGGATGTTATGTCAAAATCAAGATGATTTGTGGTGTAAGATATTAAAACGGTAGATACTTCCCAAATTCTGACTTTATGCAAGCCAAGAGGGGTAATAAGGCATCATGGAGTTGGTAGAGTATTTTTGGAGGGTAGACAGCTTCTTCAAAAAGATTTAACTTGTGGAAGTTTATTATTATGGTGCTAAAATTAGTCTTTTTTAGGATAAATGGCTGCCTGAAGCCAAGGGCCATTGTCTGAAGCAGAGGAT